GTAAAGTCATTATTTTGAGGATATTTTCAACCCAAAGTAGGTCTTTGGAGTTTCAGAGACCATCGGGTTTTTTTTGGCCGCGCTGCGTGGCTTGTGGGATCTTAGTTCCCCGACCAGGATTGAACCCCGGCCCTCAGCAGTGAGAGCGCGGAGTCCCAACCACTGGACCGCCAGGGAATTCCTGAGACCATCTCTTCTTAGCAGCAGCCACCTATTACCTCAACAGGCACAACACTAAGGACCTCAATTCCTTCCCTGACACATTCCCTTACTTCCTCGGCCTGTGCTGTCACAGCAAGACTCCTCTAGAACAATGGTCTTTAAACTGTTTTCCTCTCATATCTCCTCCAGTAATTTTGAAAGCTGGAGTACGCTTATGTTTAAATCATTACAAAGGCTGTAATTTCCACCACCTTATAAACATTGACAGTTTGAAATAAAACTGTTACATCACTCTTAAATATACCCAATGGTATAAATGTTACATACACCATAATGATTTTTTTTAACATCTTTATTGGAGTATAATTGCTTTACAATGGTGTGTTTGTTTCTGCTTTATAAACCATAATGATTTAATACCTATTTGATACCTTTAGAAAATACACAAAGGGGACTTCCCTGGTGGCGCAGTGGCTAAGAATCCACCTGCCAATGCAGGGGACACGGGTTCGAGCCCTGGTCCAGGAAGATCCCACATGCTGCGGAGCAACTAAGCCCATGTGCCACAGCTACTGAGCGTGTGCTCTACGGCCCGCGAGCCACAACTACTGAGCCCACGTGCCACAACTACTGAAGCCCACACGCCTAGAGCCCGTGCTCCACAACAAGAGAAGCGCGCCACAACGAAGAGTAGCCCCTGCTCACTGGAACTAGAGAAAGCCCGTTGCACAGCAACGAAGACCCAACGCAGCCAAAAATAAATAAGTTAATTAATTTTTAAAAAATACACGAAGTTCTTCTTTAACAGAAATTTTATATCATCCCTTTTTCTCCTTGAACCTCTATTTTTACTCCTCTCAGGATTTTATCCTAATAAAACATACTTTTACACTTTAAACTCTGATATTAGTATCTCTGCAACGACAACAAAAGTTCATCCAAATTTAAATAAATTAAAAAAATTTTTTAATTCCTCTGACCATAAGATTTTAAATCTATTTATTTATTTATTTTTGGTTGCATTGGGTCTTTGTTGCTGTGCGCGGACTTTCTCTAGTTGTGGCAAACGGGAGCTACTCTTCGTCGCGGTGCACAGGCTCCTCATTGCCACCAGGGAAGTCCCACATAAGATTTTAAGTGAGAAAACTCTCTTTTGGATGGAGAAATATTTTCATCAGTTGTATACTAATCACTGTAATAATATAATTTTTAATTAAAATCATAAACATATCCAGTAAAATTTTACTGGAGATCCATCTACTAATGAAATAGATGGAGCATCCCTCCCCTTATTAGTTCATGTGTCTGTGATTACTAAAATTCCTACAATAAGACGTAGTTCAGCAAGAATTTTATGCCTATTTTCCATTCTTACAGATACAAGATTTATGTGAGGGAATTCCATGGCGGTCGTGTGGTTAGGACTCCTCGCTCTCACTGACAAAGGCCTGGGTTCGATCCCTGGTCAGGGAAATGAAATCCCACAAGCCATGTGGTGCAGCCAAAAAAAATAGATTTCTGTGAGAAAATTTCTTCACATAAATAATGGGAATAAGTAGGAATGAAAGAAGGGAAGAAGGGCATGTCACCCAATTCTAGGAGCTCCTTTGGAGATACATGTCCATCCACTGACATAACTGAAGTCTTCCTTCAATTTTGTTGAAAGCACACAAAAATGACATGTTACATAATCATTGCAGTCATGTGCCTTCTCAGCACGTACACAAGTATTTTCTATTGTCCTTTGAATGCTGCCTCTTGACAATGTAAGATTCAGGACAGGTAGTAAATATGCTCTCCTTTATAGTAAAGTTAGTAAATTGGGCAAGGGTAATTGAGAACGGGGAAGTAGGAAAGAAAACAAATTAGTAAAGAGTGCATTTGGAAGATGAAGATCTAGAAACCGATTCCTTTAAAACTTTCCTTGCTTACATTCCCTTGGAAGGTCTTGATGTACCCCAGGGGTAGAGTGAGTACCAACAGCTCTAAGGGATTTTCCAGATCCTCAGCTTTTATACATATTCTAAGGAAGAGGGCCCACTGGGATCCTCCACACTTTGGGAAGAACCTTCTTACCCCACTGGAAAAGGTGTCAGTCTGTGTGCTGCTGTCCTGAACTTCTGGGTGAGGGCCAGTCAGCTGGCTCTTCCAGTCCTGCAGCTGGCGGGAGAGAACCTCCAGAATGACAAGAGAGTTCAGCAGGTTATCTTCCAGGTCATGGCGAGATAAGGCGGTCAGATCTGGAGGACGGCTGCAGTAGGAAGAGAAGAACATGAGGAGAAGAGAGGGAAAGGGATGGGAGTGGCAGATCCAGGAGCACAAAGATACAGGGATACTTACCCCCATAGAAGGTGCTCTGTCTCAGAAGTACTGTCCTTGGTGCCCACCAGGCCTGTTTGGGATGTGTTTGTACTCCTTTCCTGCTGTGCTGGGGGAGTAAACCAAGTCCCCACCGAGCAAGTAGAGAAAGGGGTAGTGCCAATCGCAGCATCCCGAAACACAGAGGGAAGAGATAAGCTCTGGCGGAGATTTTCCAGCATGACGGAGGTATTTACACCTTTTTCCAGCCAGGCCAGGGGAGACATCCAAGGCCCTATATCAGAAACGGGAATGCTCCCAGCATCTTCTACTGCTGGCCCTGGAGCTGCCTGGGATTCCATTTCTCCTGCATTTGGGGTCAGGCCTGTGGATGGAATATCGTCCATATTTGAGACAAGTGCTTGATCTCCCAATTCAGCCTCCTCAGGGAATGTGGGAAAGCTCATTTCTCTCTCCTCTGTAGTTCTGTGCTCTAAAATTTCCTCCCCTGGGTCCACAAGACTGACAGGGAAATCTGCTGCTAAGACAGCTGAAGGGGAAAGCCAGAGCAGGGAGGAAGGCAACAAGGCATTACTTTCAGAAGGGACTAGGTCCTCAGGCACAGCCTCAGTCCTACTGTCCTTCAGGCTTTCCTTGGAGCAGTGTAGCTGTTGCTCAGAACAGGAATTTTGTGGGTACTCCAACAGATGGGATGGAGGATCCTGAAATGTAGGTTTCTCAGGCATAGCAGGAACAATTTCTGAAAAGTTGTCTTCCATGCAGGGGGCCACCCCCTTTCTCAGCAGATCTCCTGTCCTCAAAGGCTCATCTAGAGAGAAGCTATTTGTCTCTGCCATGGTATCTAGATGGGCCTCGAGTGTAATGTTTTGCTGCTGCCCCCCTGGAGAAGGTACAAGGACCATGGTTTTAACCACATTGTTGCCCAGTGGGTCTACTGCTTCCTCAGATGTTCTGGGAGTAGAACTGGTTTGGGGAATCAGATCTAGGGGCTGCTCATCTGATTCATGCTGACAAGCTTCTAGACATGTTGAGGGATGGCTGAACGGTTCTGAAGGGGAGTCTGTCTTCTTAGCATTGACAAGATCCAGTGGAGATGAGTTGTTGCTGCCTTCCTGCCAAAGGAAACAAAAGTAGTTGACTAATACAGTCAGTTCTGGTTCCCAATATACAGTTATGGGTGCAGGATACTGTCTGAACTCAAAAAAGGAAAGAGTTCTCAATACCTTTACTTAGGTAAGAACTTGGCTAAGCCTTGCTACTTACTACAGAGACCCAGTAGAAAAGCTGGGAAGCCATTCTGGGTCCTTCCAAGTGAACCAGGTTACAGTATAAACAAGGCTAAGATAATCTATCCATGTCATGGGAAGATGGTAGCTTGAAAGTGACCCCACTCTTCTCCAATCCTAACTCCAACCCACTTCTAGGGTAGGAGGGATCCCTGGCTCAAGTTCTACAGTTGGTATAAGATTTTAGTCCTTTTGGAACAGATGAGAAATTGGGGACTAGAGTGAGAGAGCACTTGGCCCACAGAGATCCATGTACCGTAGGAAGAAAGGGCAATATCAACCTGTGCCAGTGACCTAGTCTCCTTGACCGCAAGAGCTGAGGGTATCCTGAACACATGGGTTGAAGCCATTCAGTCCTTGGGATTTGAAGAGCTCTAGCCTTTGTGGCAAAGGAGAATGAAGAGCAGAAAGACTCTTCCTGGTGCCCTGAAAAGGGAGTGACAACCTCCCAATTGCTGGTTCATAGGGACAGAGACCACTGCACTTTCTACCACTTGCAGGGCTGCTGGTCCTGAGACTCAATGAACAAAAAAAGGAAAATATGAATGTACTTATGTGGATCCAGTAGCCAGAGAAAGGACAAACCCTAAGATAGTTAGGAAAGGTAGGCCCTACCAAAATACAGCTGACAGAAGAAACAGATAGCAATTTGCACCAAAAAATATATGCATACATAAGAAGATCTGAGTACAACTCACACACACAAAGACTTTCTGGAAATAATAAATATTACTTTTAAACAAAAAATTTTAGTAATATGCATTGAAAGAGGATGATCAGAGTTAAGACAAGAATTACTGGCCTGGACAATCAAGTGGAAGACATATCTTAAAGACAAAAATACAAAGAAAGGTAAATCTGAGGGAAAAGCTAAGAGAACTGGAAGATAAATCCAGCAAACCTAACATGTGAATAAAAGAAGTTCAAGGAGAAGAGAGAACACGTACAGGTGGGGCACTGATTAACAAGTATTAGAAGAAAATTTCTCTAAGATAAAGAAAGATCTGAGTTTGCATATTAAAATGGCTCACCAAGTTCCAAGCAGGACTGACAAAAAATGATAAAATTTCTGAACTACCAGAGCAACAAAACTATTTTAGAAGCTTTAGATTATAAAGACCAGTTATTTACAAAAAAAAAAAAAAGAATTAGACTTACATGAAATTTCTCATTTACAGCAGTGGATGAAACTTTAAAACATAAAGTTGAGCTAAAACGTCTGATATTCTAGCAATGCCCTTGGGTATAGGTTACAACGATGTGTGCCTTATACAAATTTGTTAGGCTCAATGTTTTATGTACTTTCATGTATTTTATTTCAAATTTTCAAGTCTTCTTTCAAAGTGCTAAAGGAGGGACTTCCCTGGTGGCGCAGTGGTTAAGAATCCGCCTGCCAATGCAAGGGACATGGGTTCAATCCCTGAGCCAGGAAGATCCCACGTGCCACGGAGCAACTAAGCCCGTGTGCCACAACTACTGAGCCTGCGCTCTAGAGCCCACAAGCCACAACTACTGAGCCTGCGTGCCACAACTACTGAAGCCCGTGTGCCTAGAGCCCACGCTCCGCAACAAGAGAAGCCACTGCAATGAGAAGCCCGCGCACCACAACCAAGAGTAGCCCCCGCTCATCGCAACTAGAGAAAGCGGGCACACAGCAACGAAGACCCAATGCAGCCAAAAGTAAATAATAAAAATAAATAAATTTATTAAAAAAGAGAGGGGCTTCCCTGGTGGCGCAGTGGTTGAGAGTCTGCCTGCTGATGCAGGGGACGTGGGTTCGTGCCCCGGTCCGGGAAGATCCCACATGCCGCAGAGCGGCTGGGCCCGTGAGCCATGGCCGCTGAGCCTGCGCGTGCGGAGCCTGTGCTCCGCAACGGGAGAGGCCACAGCAGTGAGAGGCCAGCGTACCACAAAACAAAAACAAAAAAATAAATAAATAAAACAAAACAAAAACAAAGTGCTAAAGGAAAAGTAGAAAATAAAGGGGATGGCAAAGAGATATCAGGCAAAAACAAACAAAGAGAGCAGAGGCAGCAGTATTAGTATCAGACAAGGTAGAATGTAAAGTTATGGCACTATTATGATAAAAGACAAAATTAAAGATATATGATATAAAAAAATATAAATCAGTCGGCACTACATAGCCCAGAAGCTAAATATATAAACCAAAGGCTTTTAGAAATGTAAAAATGACCTTAAAGTTTTTGCTGTGTTTATCAAGTTCCTATTTATTCCTTTAAAAAATCACTTAAGGAGAAGATGATTGCAAATCATATATCTGATAAGGGGTTAATATCCAGAACAGATAAAGAATTCCTACAGGAGCGGGCGGCGTGGCGGGCGGGAGGCGGCAGGATGGTGAAACTGACAGCGGAGCTGATAAGGCAGGCAGCGCAGTACACCAACGCCGTGCGGGACCGCAAGCTGGACCTGCGGGCCGTATAGGTGAGGGACTTGATCAGGCTCTGCCCTATCTGACAGAACTCATTCTCACCAACAACAGTCTTGTGGAATTGGGTGATCTGGACCCTTTGGCATCTCTCAAATCATTGACTTATCCAAGTATTCTAAGAAATCCTGTAACAAATAAGAAGCATTACAGACTATATGTGACTTATAAAGTTCCACAAGTCAGAGTACTGGATTTCCAGAAGGTGAAGCTAAAAGAGCGTCAGGAAGCAGAGAAAATGTTCAAGGGCAAACGGGGTGCACAACTTGCAAAGGATATTGCCAGGAGAAGCAAAACTTTCAACCCAGGTGCTGGTTTGCCAACAGACAAAAAGAAAGGTGGGCCATCTCCAGGGGATGTGGAAGCAATCAAGAATGCTATAGCAGGGCTTCCCTGGTGGCGCAGTGGTTGGGAGTCTGCCTGCCGATGCAGGGGACACGGGTTCGTGCCCCGGTCCGGGAGGATCCCGCGTGCCGCGGAGCAGCTGGGCCCGTGGGCCGTGGCCGCTGGGCCTGCGCGTCCGGAGCCTGTGCTCCGCGGTGGGAGAGGCCGCGGCGGTGAGAGACCCGGGTACCGCAAAAACAAATAAATAAAGGGGGAAACGCGTCAACTTTGGCTGAAGTGGAGCGGCTGAAGGGCTTGCTTCAGTCCGGTCAGATACCTGGCAGAGAACGCAGATCAGGCCCCACTGATGATGGTGAAGAGGATACGGAAGAAGACACAGTCACAAATGGGTCCTGAGCAGGGTGGCCTCGAAGGATCTCAGGACATACAATAGTCCACTTCAGACAGGTCCTGCTTTTTGAAGAGCCTTGTCTGTGTCAGCAAAGTAGAGTTCATAAGCATTGTTGAAATGCTTAAGACTGCTGGTAATTTTGTAATAAAAAATTTGAAATCTAAATGCCAGTTTTCTATCAATAGTGCAAATAAAGGATACTCTGTGCTGCGGATTGCACATCATTGGGGTGTATGTGCGATGAGGCCTGGACGTGTGGGAATTGGAAATGCAGGAGGGCGGATCTTGTGGGTAGGATTCCCAGTCCTCATGAAATGTTTAGGTTTTTAAATTCATAATAAAACTTATGATTATCAAAAAAAAAATTCCTACAACTCAACAACAACAACAACAAAAATAATTAAATTTAAAAATGGGCAAAGGGACTTCCCTGGTGGCACGGTGGTTAAGAATCTGCCTGCCAGTGCAGGGGACATGGTTCGAGCCCTGGTCCGGGAAGATTCCACATGCTGCAGATTCCACATGCCACAACTATTGAGCCTGCACTCTAGAGCCCGCAAGCCACAACTACTGAGCCCGCGTGCCACAACTACTGAAGCCCGTGCACCTAGAGCCTGTGCTCCACAACAAGAGAAGCCACCACAGTGAGAAGCCTGCGCACCGCAACGAAGAGTAGCCTCCCTTGCCGCAACTAGAGAAAGCCCACATGCAACAACGAAGACCCAAAGCAGCCAAAATAAATAAATAAATTAATTAATTAATTTTAAAATAAAACCTCCCAGAAAACAAAAGTCCAGGACCAGATCATTTCACAGGTTGAATTTACCAAAATTCAAAGAAGGTTTAATATTTGTCTCAAGCTCTTCCAAAAAATTAAATAAAGAGAAGGAAATACTTCCTAACTCATTTTACAAGGCCAAAATTATGTTGATACCAAAATCAGACAAGGACAACACAGAATTCAACAGATCTGGCAGACTAAAAAAAGTGCAAGGACAGAGTAATTAACTATCTGTTGAAGGATATAATAGAATGTGACATCCTTTGAATAGTAAATATGCCTTTTCTCATATGTTCATGGAACACTCAGAAAAATTCATCCTATACTTGGCTACAAAGACAACAGATTACAGTCTGATCATAATGCAAGAAAATAAATTTAAAAGGTGACACAAAATGGTTTTTAAGCACTTGGAAATTAAAAACCCCTCCTAGATAACCCCTGGATTAAAGGTAAAAATCAAAAGAAAATTACAAACTAGCTAAAAAGCATGACAAATGATGACCATTTATAATATACACTTAGAAAATGATGAAAAAGAGTTAACCACCCAATAGAAAAATGAGCAAATAATATAAATAAGCATGTCACAAAAGAGCAAACCCAAATAACCAATTCACATGTAAGAGATACACTCACTAGTAGTCAGGAAAATGCAAATTAAAGTAACAATAAGATACCACATCAGACTGGCTAACATTTTAAAGATCTCTAACAACTACTACAAGAGGTGATGTGGGGAAATGGATATCGTTATACAATGCTGGAGAGAATATGAATTGTAATAGCTATTTTAGATAGCAATCTGACAAAATTTAAAATTAAAAATATCTTTCCTTCAAACCAATAATCCTACTCCTGAAAATGTATCTCATTGAAATAAAGGTATCAGTACAAAGATATTTACATTAGCATTGTTTGCAGAAGCAAAAAAAAAAGTGGAAAGATAAATGACCATTTATGACTAAATCATGACTGATGCATACCACAGTATCTTATAAATTAGCTCTACACTAGTTGACATGGAGGGATTTAAACCACATTGTTAAATGAGAAAAGCAACAGGCAGAGAAATGTATACAGTCAATCCTCATTATTTGAACTGAAAAGCATTTTCTACATAGCTATGTCTCTCAAGACCTTTCACAAAAGTACAACTCAGTGAGGGCAGTTCTACAAGGAGCTAGTTTAAACTCTGGTGGTTCAGGGGTGTAACTTGATCCCAGGGGAGTTTTGACTGCCTCTGGGAATGGATGGACATTGCCTCATTCTTGCAGCTGACTGACTTCTCCGTAAGTGAGTCCCTATTAAGGGGGAGACCACTCGGAGCTTCCTTGGTGGCGCAGTGGTTGAGAGTCGGCCTGCTGATGCAGGGTACGCGGGTTCGTGCCCCAGTCCGGGAAGATCCCACATGCCGCGGAGCGGCTGGGCCCGTGAGCCATGGCTGCTGAGCCTGCGCGTCCGGAGCCTGTGCTCCACAACGGGAGAGGCCACAGCAGTGAGAGGCCCGCGAACCACAAAAAAAAAAAAAAAGAGGGAGACCACTAACCAAAGTGATAGTATTTCTGAGACGTTTGGTAAAGACTGAACGGGGGAGGTGGTGATAAAAAAAACTAACAGCTAAATAGAGGTGCGGGTTCTCAGTGGACTTCCTTTAGCGACCCTAGGGTACCTCTCTGTTGGCCTGAATAGCTGTAAATGGATGTCACCGAAGAAGGAAACTTCATTATCGTTATTAATTACGTTCCAACCCTGGCCCTCTGTTCCTCTGAGCTCTCCGCCTCGGCAAAGAGCCCAGTCGAGAGGCTGGCCAGGCGAATCTCACCTGCAGCCCTAGCTTGCACAGTGATGGGGTGGACGAGTAGGCTATCGGGGGCCCTGTTCCCGAGTTGGTGAGGGCACCAGGCTGCAGGATAAGTTCTCGGAGAGGCGTTCTCATAGCTGCTTTTCCCTAAAACAGAAGAGAGAATGTGAGAAAGCCTGGGCTCTGCCAGCCTGCCCTAAGAAGCTCCCCTCCCTCCCTAAGAGGCTCACGAGCAATAACAAGAGTAGGCTCCAACCCCAGTCCTCTGAACATCAGGACCAGCATTAGACTCCACATGCACCCGTCCCCAGGCTCGACCCTGCTTTCCACGACGCCCGGCACTGCCAGCGACCCCGACCCGAAACCCCGGCCCAGCTCTCTCTCTCCATGAGGCCCTCCCGCTCACCGGTTGGGGCGAAGGCGACACGCTAAGATTCAGTTTTTTGACACGCCACATCTTCAAAACAACACAGGGTGATCACCTCCTAGACGCAAGAGGCGACGCCATGCTCACCCGCCGTCTTTATTTGAACCTGCTCCGCGCTTCCCGATTGGCTGCGAAGTCTCAGTGCGTCAGGTGGGCGCGTCCGCTCTGGGCTCGAGCCCGGCGGGCGGGGGCGGGGCCTGTATTGGGCCCGCCCCGCCCGGCCCCCTGTGCGCGCGCGCTTTGGACGCGCTCCAGCCCGAAAGCAAGCCTTTCGGCCTCACCTCCGAGAGGGTGACCGGGAAGTTGAACAGTTGAGGAGTCCATCCCTCCTGCTTCGAGTAGGCCAGTCTCACACCCTGTCGGAAAAGCTGTCCCCGTGGCCTGGCCTTAGGAAGTTTGTCCTCAGGTTTCTCTCAGCTATCTCAGCCTTGACCGGCAGGAGCCGGTCGGGGGTATAGAAGGGAAGGTGAGTGGAGCGTTTTTTACGTAGGCTGTTTGGTCCGCGTATAGGTCCTGCGTCCGTGATGGCCTGAGACGTGGTTCTCAGCCTGCGCTGTCATTTAGCCTCTTCAGAATTTCTGGTGTTTTGTTGGGACTTAACTCAGGGTTCGCAACAAGTTTACTGGAACAGTAATAGCTCACAAGTATTGAACATTTATTAGGCACCTGGCACTCTTCCAAATGCCTTTTATATCTTAACTCCTTTAATCCCCAAAAGGGCATATGAAGTAGGCACCGTAAATATCCCCGTTTTACAGACTTAGGAACCGAGTCACAGATAATGTCTTTTGCCTAATGCCCCACAGGTAGTAAAATGGCAGAGTCAAGATTGCCACCCACACTACCGACTACTGCATTCTCCTGTCGCTTGAAACCCCTCTGTGTGGGAAATTAGCTACTGGAGGTGGGATTGATTTTTGGAAACAGCCTAAAGTTAAGTATTCAGAGTTACAGTTTATGATGAAGTATGTTCCTTTGAACGCTCACGGCACCTTATTTACACTCTTAAGTCATAATGAATTTGGAAAAGGCAATAACCCAGAGAGGAAAAACTATAATGTTACGAACTTCGGGGCTCTCAGGGGATGGGCTCTTCTAGAACTGTGTTGTCCAATACCATAGCCACTAGCCACATGTGGCTATTGAGCACTTCAAATGTGGCTAGTCCAAATTGAGATGTATTATAGGTGTAAACTACAAACTAGATTTCGAAGACTTCGTATGAAAAAAGAAAAGAATAAAATATCTTATTTTAAATATTGATTGCATGTTGAAATGATATTTTAGATACATTGGGTTAAATAAAATACATTAAATTAATTTCATCTGTTTCTTTTTACCTAATTTTTTTTTTTTTTTTTTTTTTTTGTGGTACGCGGGCCTCTCACTGTTGTGGCCTCTCCCGTTGCGGAGCACAGGAGCACAGGTTCCGGACGCGCATGGCTCAGCGGCCATGGCTCACGGGCCCAGCCACTCCGCGGCATGTGGGATCTTCCCGGACCGGGGCACGAACCCGTGTCCCCTGCATCGGCAGGCGGACTCTCAACCACTGCGCCACCAGGGAGGCCCTCTTTTTACCTATTTTTTAATGGGACTACTAGCAAATTTCAAATTACTTATGAGGCTTACATTATTTTTGTTGGACAACACCACTTTAGAAACATAATGGTGCAACCTAAAGACGCATCGAGATAACAGTTGCTTGACTGGAAACCTGGGAGAAAGACAACAGAACACAGACTTGAGCCTGGGATTCCCCCAGACTTAGCAGAGGGAATCCCAAGGTATATGTACTTCTGGTCAATCAAAAAGGTCCAACAAATAAAACAAGGGTGAAAGGGGCAGAAAAACCAAGACAGAAAACTCTTAAGTGCCAGTAGTGAAAGCTTGTATTATATAAAGTGTGACTTGGAATGCTTAGTCCTTGTTGCAGTTGGTATGTCAGATGCCAGGTGAGTAACCAAAGAGATATAGTGCTTCCAGCAGCAAATTA